ACACTTGCTTCTTGAGCTTCCCTTCCCTGCAAAGCTGGTGACTAAATGCCAGTTGTGTTGCAGAAAACCCTTGGCTCCACAGCCCACACGGCACTATTTCCCTCCCCGCATCTCCTCCCTCCAAATTTCACTTTCTTTGGTGAGACCTAATTCATATCCAAAAGTAGCTTCAAATGAACATAGGGAATGATGACTAATGCCAGCCCACTGTGGTGTCTGTCACAGCCCCAAGCCTATCCCCATGCTAGACACCCTATACCCCCATTTTCTTGCCTCCAGAGCCTCCTGATTGGCTCTACCCACATCCCAGCCTCTTACCTGTGCTTCTCCAGACCCCCACTGCAGCATGTACCACATTGGCAAAATTGCCTGTGGATTTTCTTGTCCTCATCACCCAATGTAAACTCCTTGAGGACAGAAGTATACCCACTCATTTCAAGGCCACATCCTCAGTCAAGGCCACATCCTCCGTGCCTATAGTGGTGCCTGGAGGGATCCATCTGACCAAGCTGGGAGAGGGGCAGCAAGCCCACCCAGCCTGGGAGTAGAAGCAGGGGAGAGAAAGAGGCAGAATCCTAAGCTATTTAACTGCCTCAAGACTCAGTTTTAGCACCTGCAAAATGGGGGCAATAGCATTAATAATCAGTATGTATGTCAAGGGATCTGAGGAGGCATACACATTCATATGTGTTCATCAATTCCATCTTTTTCTCAGATTTCTTCCACAGTTGGAGAGGGTCTGTGCTTTCCTAGGAATCCAGCCCTGAAGAAGAAAGCTGGCAAAATCCACAGCATCTTGGGGCCATGCACGGCAGGCCACTAACTCATAGTAGGGAGGCAGAGAGGTGCCTGCTTCCTGGGCCCTCCTTTTCACTTGAGAGGTTTTCCCTCGAAAGTTGGAACAAGAAGAGTTCCTCCTCCCACTCTAGGCCTGCCAGGCTTCCTGGCAGCAGAACTTGTGGTCAGCAGAGCCTGGAGGCCTGATCCTGCCAGATGACCAGCTGCACTAGTAGCTGGGAGACTCTGGAGGAGAGTGGTCAAACACTGTGTACCAGGCTGACTCTTCTTATGTCTCACTCGGGTCATTCCTGGTTGATATGAGCCTGGGTCAATCCCAGCTGGAATGGGCCAGTCAGGTTTATGCCCAGTATCCGGTCATAACTATTAATAGAGCCTTCTTTCACTCTTAAGTGTCCTATACATCTGCTAAAGCTGAGCATACATATCCTATGATCCAATAATTCCTCTCCTAGGCATGTGCCCAATAGAAATTTTGCACATCAACTCACCAAAGACATATTCTAGAATATTCACAGCAGTGCTCTTCGTAATAACCCTAAACCAGAAACTAGCCCTTCAACAGATAGATAAATTGTGGTACATTCACATCATATAATTATGCAGCCATGAGAATGAACATTCTACAGCCACATACAGTAACACAGATGAGTCTTGCAGACATAATTTTAATTACTGATCTTTTCCTCCAATACCCTATCCCACCTACCTTTCATTTTGGGCTAGACACATAGAACATCCTCATACCTTATCACCATACCCTTCATTAAAACCTCTACTCCCAACCACAAAATGCAACCATCCATACGAGGCCTTTTCACCTGCTTTTCATTTTTTTTCTTTGAAACAGTGTCTCAGTATGTTGCCCTCAGTAGGGTGCCATGGTGTCACAGCTCACAGAAACCTCAAACTCTTGGGTTCAAGTGATTCTCTTGCCTCAGGCTCCCAAGTAGCTGGGACTACAGGTGCCTGCCACAGTGACCGCCTATTTTTTGTTGTAGTTGTCATTGTTGGTTAGCTGACCCAGGCCAGGTTTGAACCAGCCAACTTCAGTGTATGTATGTGGCTGGTGCCATAAACCACTGGGCTACAGATGCCAAGCCTCACTGCATTTCTAGAAAATAAAAGTTAAGAGTCAGTTTCTCTGAGAAAGTTGACCTGAACGACGTATTCCCTACACATTTCTGTTGGGTTCATTGAAGTTTGATGGGTTTGTCTTTGGAGAAGCTGTATAACCTTATCACCTGAAAATGCTTCCTATGGGGAAGATTGGTTCTGGTATCAACCATCTACTCTGGGACCTCTTAGGCCTTTGCCAACACGTTAAGGCCTCAGGCTTACAGGGAGCTCTCTCTCCCTGCCTGCCCTGTCCTTCACTCTTAGCCCCCCACCTATCCAAATCTCACTAAGGCCTGCTCAAACCTGTTTCTTCCAGGATTTCCCACCACCCCGGGCTCCTAACCTTTCCTTCTGTAAATCCTATTAAGTCTTTTTTTAAGCCCTTGGTCCCTGGTCTAAGTTTCAAGAGCACAGGTAAGTTTGCCTTGGTCACTGATTATACCTCAAAAGTTTGGACCAGCTCCTGGTAAATAATAGGTTCTTAATAAACACCCAATTAATAAAATGTTTTTGTATCATAGCATCTCCCAGATTGTTGTCCAGCTTTCTCCAGCATATTTGTAATCTTGATTCCTCTAGACATTCCTAGACTTTGCTAGGACAGGATTTATGTCTTCTTCATCTTTTTATCCCTACCACTCACTGTTCTGCTTAATACTTATTGAAAGAGAAAGAAGAGAAAGTAAATTCAGAGTATTTTCAATGAAGAAAGTATGGGGTGGTGGTGGTGAGGGTGGTGGGGTCAGTGGCTAAAGAGTTATTTGGATTTCAAGGGTGTGGGTAATCCAGGAGAACAAGCTACTGTATTTATTTGCCTACGATTTTATGAATTTATTTATACCTGCTTCTTTCCAGAGAAGGTTTGAGATGACTTACAAAAATACACACAATACAAGGTAAAAAACAAGTCGGTGAAGAAATCAGGACGAGGGGAAAATAAGAGTAGGAAAAATAAGATCAAGCCGGCTTGGTAGAAGTGGGCCAAAATGTTGGCCAAGTTTCTTCCCATAGCCCACTCAAAGCTTAAGTTCCTCTCCCCTACCCACCTCCGTCAGGGAGGGCTACAGGTCACACACTGTCACACACACACATGGACCGAGAGAGAACTGTTCTGAGGTTAGCTGGGTCGAAGAGTTGGGGCTGAGAGGACCCTCTCGGCATCGCCCCAGCCGCCAAGCCCCAGTCCCAAAGCCCGGGCTTGGAAGCCAAGGCGGCCTTGGGGAGGGTTGTGTCTAGGGGCCTGTGTTGCTCTGGGGAGGCCATCCTTGGCCCAGGCCTGAAGGCCCAGCTTGTGCCAGGGCCCTGGGACTTGGGGTGGTAGTGGTCGTGGTAGAGGCTGAGGATCGCTCTTCCACTCCACGCTGCAAAACTTCCCGAGCTCAAAAGTTTACGCCCTCCGGCCAACTGTACTCCCGGCCTACTAAGCGCGCGACCAGCACAAGGGCACAAAGATGGAGGTAGCAGCGCGCTTCCACCCCGCCCCACCCCCACCCCCAGGCTCCAGACAAAGGGGCAGGTCGCCCCTCCCCCAATGTCTCCCAAGCGTTCCCCTCCGCCGTCTTCTCCCCTCCCTTCAGGCCGCCCTACAGTGACTTCCTTTCCCCTCCAGGAACGGCCCCGGGACTTCTCAGGAACTGCGTTTCACCTGGACCCGGGGGCGGAGAACCAGCGCAGAGGGCGGCCTCAGGCCCACCCCCAGGCCGGGCCGCCCCTGGCCCGCGCCCTCCCCTTTGAACTCGTTCTCCCGGCCTCCAGCGCCTTCCCGCCCAGGCGCCCCCGCCCCCACCCGGCCGAGCACGTGCTGCCCAGGGCCCGGAGCGCCATCCCGCTGCCTCGTGGTGGGGGCTGGGCCCACTCCCCGCTCTGCTCCCCACCCCCACCGGAAACATTCCTGAAACATTCCTGAAAGTAGGAGGCCCGGCCCCTCTAGTTCCCCACCCCGCCTCCACTCCCGGCTCAGGGTTTTCCAGCGTCTCCCCCTTCACGGCCGGCTCGCCCCCTGAGGAGGGGGCTGGGCCAGGGCCTCGGCTGACCGGGAAGGGGAGCAAAGAAAAACATGAGTCACAGCAGTGTGTCACTAGACCGCATTACAATTCCCTGCATCACAGGAGGTGTGGAAGGCCGCCTCAGGGACCAGGCGCCGGGAGGTGCGCCCGAGAAGGCCCCGGGCCGGCCTGCAGGGCGCGCCTCTCCGACTGCGCCCTTTCTTCCCCCACCGCCCTCCCCGCCATCTTCCCACTTTGGCTTCCTCCTCGTTCTGCGCAACAAGTCTTTGTTGAGCCAGACACCAGGCGCCCCGGCCCGGCGGGTATGGCGAGTAAACTCGCTCCCTGTCCTCAAAGCGCTTCCAGGCGACCTCTGGCCCACCCTTTATTTCTTAAGTCATAGCGGTAGGGGTCAGAGCCCAAAGTGAGACTGCGTGTCTTCCAAACACCATCCAGGTCACTCAGAGAAATGAATCCTCCCTCGGGTATACCTATAAACGAACCAATCGTTCGCTTTGCTTGAAGGCTCCACCTTGATTGTGGTTCGCTCGTGGCCATTAATAAAACTAGAACACTTTGGATTTCACAAGTTTCACGTTTGAATTTCACAAGACTCGTATTTCACCAGTTAGCCACATGCGGGTTGACACTGAAATGCACATGTTGACACCTGTCCGCCCGGGGGAAATCTACGAACCGTCTATCTGGGCGAAGGGGGCGGTGTGTAGGCCTTAAGAATTCTCCAACGAGAGTGTTTCTTACCCTCACTCGGTCCATATGGAAGCTCACCCAACAGCCCACACACACCCTATTCGGAGCAGACCCACAAGCCCAGAAGACCTCAAAGGTGACTCCCCCTGGGATCCTACTTGCAGAGAGTAAGGACGCCTTTCCCCCCCCCCACAGTGAAAAGCTCCTTTGTGATTTCTCTGCACGGCCCTTCCGGTTCTTCTAAGTCCGGGACCGTAAGGAGTAGGTTACACACTCCGCTTCGCAGCTCAGGCCGCCGAACGCCCCACCCCAACATCAGCACCCACCCGCGCCGCGGCGGCGGCGGCGGCGGCTGGCGGGCGGCCGCCCTTTTAAATCCCCGGGCTAATTTGCATGGCCCCGCCCCCTCGGTGACACGGCTGGCGCGGGCGGGCCCGTCCCCCCTGCCCCTGGGTCGCTCTTTTTAAGCTCCCCTGAGCCGGGGCTGCGCTCCTCTAATTGGGACTCCGAGTCGGGGCTATTTCTGGCGCTGGCGCGGCTCCAAGAAGGCGTGAGTTCGCGGCCGCTCTGGTGGCTTTTTTTTATATCTATAATTTAATTAAATTATTTATTTATTGAGGCTGCGCACGGGCCGTGCCCAGCTTCCTGCCCCTCGCCATCCTTCGGGGGAGGGGGAATATTTTTGTCCCCCCGCCTGGATGTGACATATAAATACCCCGCGGGGGCCTGGGCGGCGAGCACGCGGCGGCGGCGGTCACTGAGCGCCTCTGCTCTCTCTCCTGGTTTCAGATCCGCATTTGCTACCAGCGGCGGCCGCGGCGGAGGCAGGCCGGTCCTCAGCGCCAAGCACCGTCGCTCCCGGCAGCCCGGAGCGCGCACCGCAGGCCGGCGGCCGAGCTCGCGGTGAGTCGTCCCGGGGGGCCGCCGCGGTGGTGGC